TAAGAAGACTCAAAATATATGAGAATAAGAATAATTTTTTTATTATAATTATATCCCTATTAAAAAAAGAAATTAGGGCTAAAGAAGAAAATGGTGGGGTTTAAGAATCGTTTCCCAAAAATTAATTTGATTAATTTGTTAAAATTTTCATAAATGAGTACTTAATTGAAGAGTGCAACTTTTAGATTTTAGTTGAGAAACCCAAAGTTCATGAATTAGGGCCCATTTTATTTAAGAGTTAAATGAGTTTTTTATCAATCTATTGGAGCTTCTAGTTAAATATGTCCATACTAATTCCTTGAGCCCATTTTATTAAATTTTTAAAAAAATTATTAAAATAAAATAAATAATTTTGTAGGTGTTGGGTTATAAATCTCTACCCACAAGCTTCAGTATGTTTAATTGAACATAGGGACATGGGACATATCCTATGTTGTATAAAACTTAAAATAAAGAGTTTTCCCTAAGTTTAATAATTAAAATTAACTAATTGGCTTAGAATTTGGGAGTTTATATAAAGACCCTCAAACTATGATTTTCATTTGGTGTTGATCTCTCAAATATTAGCTTACAATATTTTTCAGAAAAAACCACTAATAGATGGCCTAATGATAAAAGAACAAAAGAGGGTTCCATAAACTCTTGAGTTACTAAGGGGCTTACTTATTTGTCAACTTCAGAACCCCGACGAATTAGTTGAGGTACGCATAAACTGACCCAAACACCACCGGTCACTTGAGAGATACAATTAGCGTGTGTCAAGAAGCTAAAGTGACGCCCACATATCCTATTTAGAAACTAGAGAATACTCAAGAATCCGCATTGAAGAAAGCATCTTAGTTGGTATATTTCCTATCTTTGTTTTAGATTAAATAAATCAAGCTAAAAGTTTTGTGTTTCTTCGCTGCACCAATTGTACTTTTGTAAAAGATTTAATTGGGTATAACTATAATCTATCCCAACAGTGGGAATCAACAATGATTATAAGGTAATTTTTTCTTCATTCATGCTTCAAGAAGAAAAGAAGCATACTAATGGTGAATGCTACATCACTATTGAGAAACTGATTAAGAGAAGAGCTCGTATTGCTTGGGAGATGTTTGTTGAGGTTTTCAACGAAAATTATGCTCATATTGCTGAGGAGATGTTTTAAATGAAAAAATATTTTTAATTTAATGTTCATTGCAAAAAATCAGTATTCAATCTCAATCTCATTTGGAAACGGATAAATATAGTTTTATTGGGCCCATAAGGAGGCTCAACCGCAAACCTTGTGATCTACAAGGGCCTGACCATCCGACTAAGCCCTCATATGTTTGTTACTTGAGAGTTTTTGTTGAAGCTTTCAATGGAAAACGTTTTCCAAATATTGTTTATTTTAAGATGCCTTAATTTTTTTTTTTCAAATATTGTTAGTTTAAATTTCACTTTTTTCTAAATTTAACTTGTTTAGTTTTTCATTTGTTTTCAATGTAACTTATTGAATTTTTAATTTTATTTGTTTTTACTATTAGGAAAGGGCTATATATTTTAAATGTCATATTACTTTAATGTTTAATCCTATTCGTTCTTAATGTTAGTAAATAAGGATAAATTTGTCATTCCTTACCGATTTAGGAAGGTAAGTTGACATAGTCAGGGTTTAGGGTGGTTTTGATGATTTTTTAAAATTAAGGCATGGGCTTGTTAAAATTGGAAAAGTCACCATCCAAGTTGATTCTCAAAAGATCAGGCACGGTAAGTGAATTTCTCCCCATAATCAAGCAAACATATTTTCGGTGGAAAAGAGTTGCATGAAGCTCAAAAGCAAACCCTTGCAGATCTGGGCCCAAAATTAACATGTGCTCGTTACCTTATGGTGTTATCCAATTATAAAATGTAATATAAATTTTAAATTTATATATTATTGAATTAAATTATTCATGGTGCTTATGGATAAGACTATGTCGGACATGGATCAGACCTCTTATGTGATTTATTTTATAATTATAATTTATGACAAAATTAGTGTCAATTTTATTCAATATTAAGCTTTAATAACTATTTAGGCTCCGTTTGCTTCAAAATTTTAGGTTTTTGGGAAAAGTTTTTTGAAAAAAGTTAAAAAAAAGTTGAATTGGACGGGTATTACGATGTAAGAATTATAAATTAATAAAATACCCTCTATGTTTATTTATTTACAAAAACACCCCAATAATAAAACATTAAAAGTTAACAAAAACACCCCCAACCAACCCTCAAATACGGACAGCCGGCCACCACCGCCGGAGGGTGGCCGGAGTCGTCGTATCGGTGCATGACGGCTAGATCTTGTCGGTCATGCGCTGATATGGCCTTTTCCGGCCAGATCCATCGGCAAAGGCCAGATCTGGCCATATTTGCTCGTCAACGACGGCCAACAAACGGTCGTCGTTGATGGTCAACGACGACTGTTTGTTGGCCGTCATTATCGACTGTTACGGCCAAAGACGGCCAGATCTTTGGCCTTAGATCTGGCCTTTTCTGGCCAGATCCACCGTGGATCTGGCCGAAAAAGGCTAGATCGACTCACTACAGGCCAAATTCAGCCGGTAGTGTGCCATCCTAACAGATTCCGGCCATTTTCCGGCAGTGGTGGCCGGAATCTGGTAAATGTGGATTACTAGGGTGTTTTTGCAATTTTAAAAAAAATATTTAGGGGTATTTAATTAAATTATCAAATTTAAGGGGTTTAAAAAAGTTGAATAATATTGGGAGTAGTATTCCCAAAATCAGAGGCTCCGTTTGGTTGCCAATTGGGAATACTACTTTTAGTATTCCCAAAAAAGTTAAACAGTAAAATACCCAAAAACTTTGATTTTTGGGAATACTACTCCCAATATTATTCAACTTTTTTTAAACCCCTTAAATTTGATAATTTAATTAAATACCCCTAAATATTTTTTTTAAAATTACAAAAACACCCCAGTAATTCATATTTACCAGATTTCAGCCACCACTGCCGGAAAATGGCAGGAATCTGTTAGGATGGCGCACTACCGGCTGAATCTGGCCGGTAGTGCGCCGATCTAGCCTTTTCCGGTCAGATCTACGGTGGATCTGGCCGGAAAAGGCCAGATCTAAGGCCAAAGATCTGGCCGTTGACGGCCAGATCTTTGGCCGTAACGGTTTATAACGACGGCCAACAAACGGTCGTCGTTGACATCAACGACGACCGTTTTGTTGGTCATCGTTGACGAGAAAATACGGCCAGATTTGGCTATTGACGGCCAGATCTGGCCGTAGATCTGGCCGATCTGGCCGACAAAGGCCATATCGACGCACGACCGGCAAGATCCAGCCGGTCATGCGCCAATACGGTGAACCTGGCCACCCTCCGGCGGTGGTGGCTGGCTGTCCGTATTTGACATTGGGTTGGGGGTGTTTTTGTTAACTTTTAAGATTTTATTATAGGGGGTGTTTTGTAAATAAACAAATATAAGGAGTATTTTAAAATTTATAAATAATACATCGTAATACCCCCCCAATTCAACTTTTTTTTAACTTTTTTCAGAAAACTTTTCCCAAAAACACCCAATTGTGAACCAAACGAAGCCAGAGTTTTTTGGTATTTTACTGTTTAACTTTATTCCCAAAACTGAAACAAACGAAACCTTAACAATTGAGAAGTCAAAAATGAGATTCCACATTGCTAATGTGTTTACCAATTTTATTCAATATTAAGCTTTAATAACTATGTAATCTGCTGTTCTTAGAACTAGCTCATTAATGATTGCATCTTTGCTATTTGGCCTTACCAACACAGAAGTCATTATTATTGAACACAGTCATTTCTTTGGCGTTATCACCCTTCTTTTTATGATTCAACGATGGTTCAGAAGGTTAGTTTCAATTATTTAAGCAACTCAGTATCTATTTAAATTAAATTACAAGTTTTAACTTATGATTTCTATTTTTTACTGAAATTTGCGTAGATGGTGATGATAGTTATGATGATGATGATGGTGATGATAGTGATGAATTTTGATGCTAGTGTGTGAAGCTCAATCAATATAGAGACAGATCAAAGAAAAAACACTTAGCATCAAATGTTTTTTTATTAATTATTATGTATTTTGTAATTTGATATGTAAATACAACACTATGTTTGGATTTGAACTTTGAATTGTTGTTAAATACTTAAATGATGTTAGAATTGTTGTTGAATTTGAACTTTGAATCATGTTGGACAGTAATTAAGTTGTTATTGTCTTATTGAAAAATAGAAATCTAAAAAAAAAAAGATTTTTTTTTAAAATATGATGATGTCATCATGATGTATGATGATATCACCGATCCAATCAGCAGTCCAATCGATTAGACCGGTTGAACCGTGACCCGACCATCAAAGCGGTTTGCCCTCCAATCCGATTTTTAAAACAATGGTTTAAAGGGGCTCATATATGAAACATATCGAAATAACATTTGGAGCGGTCAAAAACTGAAATTTATCCTCCATCGACAATTAAGTTTAGTCAAGGCATTTATAGCACAACCCAAATTAGTCGTATCTTAACAATTTTTCTTATTGCACGTATAGAACTTCCCTCTTGTATCATTAAACCTTCACCCACAAAAGTACTACATACATCAAAACCTCCAGACAAAGTCAAACTGGAAGAGTCATGGTTCTGTTGGCCCAAACTTGAGTCTCTACTCTTTCTTAAGCAATCAAGAATTGTAGCTGGTGACTGGTGCCCATGTTGGGAGCAAACGTTGCTTCAGAACAAAGTATTATTTCGTGTACGTTAACTTGTTATGCGATTTGGTTCACTTATTTACAAAACACTTGCCATTTGCATGCTTTATTCATACCAAAATCCTACCCAATTCTTATAAATTTGATAGATGCGTTGCGTGCAAGTCAAACCAATTACCATCTGATAGTGCAATTTTGAGCTCTACTCAATTTGTACAATTACAACACACCTTTTAAAATGAAATACCCATAAACACTCACAAAAAGAGGCAATGAACTGTCGGAAATGGAAAATAAAAGTTCACAGTATTATAATCAAAAATAAATTCAACGTATTCATGTGCAAGAATCTTTGTTTCCAATATAGATCACCTAACATTGGTATGGAAAAACCAAAGCAACTGCTAGCTCTCACAGTTCTACAATCTAGACATGATGACACAAGAAAATAAAAGAGCAAAATGAAAATGGGTGTGGAAATTTACATTCACAAGGGGAAATTTTAATGTGAGAAATATAACTCAGCTTTCCTTATAATTTTCTCTTCAAATTGTAGGGTAAGTGTGAGAGTAACAGATCCTATGTTACTAGTGGGTTTCGTTTGGTACAGTTAGTGGAGTCTTCCTAAACACATGCTTTCTGCATCGCTCAAAAATGCTATCATATATCAGATCGAATTGAACACCTGCTCTTTCCCGATTCACTATAAATAATATGTGATCAGCTTCAACAATCTTGTAGTACCTGCATTTAGTAATACCAGTTTCATGGTAAGGTCACATCACAACTCTTAGTCAATGCTTTCAAATGTGACCATAATTTTCAATCAAATTCGAGCAGATGGCGCATTAAGAAGATTTTATTGGTAAATATAGTAAGTGAACGTTAACTAACCAGATGCCCGGCTGCAACGGCTGACAGTCTGAATCATTGACAACAAATTGGCTGGGGTGTTCAACTGGGAGACGAGGGTGAGTCATAGATATGGTGTTCAGTGCTCCATCATTGTCCCACCAATCCTCATCCCTGCACATGAATCACACTTAAATTTAATTTAATTTCCTAACCTCCCAAATTTGCAAAAGTGTTATGCACTACTAAGGAAACGGTCAAAAGTTCAAAAATCTAAAGACTTCCGTAAAATTATATTGGAAAAACTTGTAAAATACTTCAGAGTGGCATTTGGCCCTAATATCACTTCATAACAAACTAAAAAAAATAAAATGATTCAAACAAACATAAGGTCAAAGTCCAAAAAAAATTAACAAGGATAAAAACTTAAGTTAATGAAAAAACCTTTTAAAAGAATATTGTATATATAAACTATGTTAACATGTCAGCCAATGTTGTTTAAAAAAATAACATACCTGAAGCCTTTGTAAGGAGGACGAACATCTGGAGGATGACGCCATTGACTCATCTGCAATACTCTGATAAAGAGCAATGGATGGATTCCAAGTATACTAGAAGGAACTGTGAAACCCATAAACTTCCTTGTACGTTTGGTTGCGTAACTGAAATAGTATGTGTCGGGAAAGGTATGCAGATGAGAGTTGAGCTGCAATGAGCCTTGAATTGTAAGATCAGGGAGAATCCAATCTCCTGAAGCAAATGGGCCTGCATTTCCCATGAGGCAATCAACAAGACCCCGAATACCCATTTTCTTCCATGTCATATTATAATGATCAAAGCCAAAATTGTAATATGCCTTAAGCCAGGGAATATCAAGCCAATCATAAATTATAACTCCTATGCGGCACAGCTGAAGCAGACATATGGGTTTCAAGCTTCTTCCATCTTCTGGTCTGTAATAGTTTGAAACCACACCACAGCAGCAGAGTTAGACATTAGACATTATTAGCCATGGAAAATGATTTGGAATACAGTATTGAAAGAACAAATGCCATAAATACTATACAATAATAACCTTATCATCTCGGAAATTCTCAAAACTCATTAACAAGTAACAATTGCTGACATATGACCATATAACTAAATAGAAATTTAAATGTAACCTTCAACTGAGATCCTCCAGAAACATATTTTCATTCATTAGTTTATCATCATTGTACTTCAGCATTCACAATTTGCCGTTCTCATATCAAAATTTACTATCCTACATCCAGAACTCAGGGAATTCATTGTAATATTAGAAAAAGTTTGAAAGGAACTCACTGCATCCCATCTAAGTAGGTTCTTGTAGTCCCATTAAATGCCCCAGACAAGGATGTAATGCTCAGTACCCAGTTCTCTGAAGTGTTTTCATACCCTTTGAATGCCTAAAAAACATTATGAACACATAACTCAATATATAAACCAAAAGAGTTGAAAAAAAAAAAAAAAAAACAATTATTTACTATTGTGTGATAACATGAACCCATTGAACTAACCTTGTCGGCAAGCATTTGCTGCAAAACACGAACAACCTGAGCACCGGCTGAGTGCCCAACAAAATGAATAGGATGATCCTCATCCCATTCAGGATATTGACCTGCACACAGTTGCAATCAAATCAGGGATGACCGTTGGGCAATGACCCACTCCCTATCCTTTTAAAACAAAATCAGGGATGATAGAGTAAAAGGAAAAAACAAATTTGTCTAAAACAAAATAAACGAAAATCGAGCTGAACCGTTGAAAAATTAAAAAAAAATACAGGGGAGAGAGAAAATTTGTCAACCTTGCTCATAAATCCGTCCAAACTGCGAGTGCCCACAAGCCTCACTATGTTCGGCACCATAATCGACTTGCCCGCCTTTCAAATAATAGAACAACTCGCGAGCCCTAAAAAAAAAAGGCTTTAGGAACAAGGGAAACTTGCATAAACAGACACATAACAACAATAATAATAAATTAATCAAAAGCGACATACCTATCGTATATGCTGGTTAAAGATCCCAAATCCGGCACGAGAACCCTCTCATCCTTTTTCTCCGCCCCCGCAAAGTATGATAGAGCACCCAATCTCTGTTATCAGAAAACAAAACGCACAGTTCAGGAAATGAATGAATCTAAAGGGTATATCATTTTATAATAAATGGATAAAAGAAATAATAAATAACATACCCCTTTGCCAAATCCAAAGATTCCATGGACTAAAACAATGGGAGGCAGAGCATTAGGATCGATTGTGGTTGTATCTTTCGTCTCTTCTTGTTTAACCTCAAGAACATTGACGTTAGACTTGAAAAAACATTCATTGAAAGCCTGAGAGAGATCACCGGCCACGGCTGAGCTAAATATATAAAACCCATATAACAAATGCACCATAGAACTCACAAACAACTCTGTTAACTGCAAAGCAGATATCCACCATCTTATCATCTTCTTAAAATCACCCAGAAAATAAAAAAGAAAACAATATTCGGATAATTATTTAGAAGAAGAGAAGAGCCTTCTTTGAACCCAAAAAACAAACAAAGAAGGCTCTTATATGAACAAAATCAGGACTAAAATCTTCTCACAAGAACCCTCCTATGACACTTCTCATAGAAGGAAAAATAGAAAAAGGATTTGTTCTTATAGTCCTTTTTAGGTTTTCTGTATTTTATTTTATTTTCGCTTTTCTCTGTTGTTGTTTGCTCGCTTCAAACTTCGAAATGGTTTCCCACAAATTTCTCATTTTCTACCTTGAAAAATCACACAAAAGACACAGCGTAACCATTAACCAATCACAAAGCTTACTGTTCATTCATTAGTTTTGTCCCCAATTGAAGTTTTTGGTTGAAGTTGATGACACGTGTCCTTGAGTATACCACTCCCACAATTCGTAAAATCTCTGCAAGGACCCACTGAGTAAAGTTAATGAAATTATAATAAAAATAAATAAAATAATCGATGCTTCTAGGCGTTTGTTCGTCCTTCACAGGTCTTGTGTGCTGGATCAAAGCTGGAAGGTTCTGAATCAGGCCAGCACCCAAACTGTAGACTTACCCATTTAGTTTGTCCATGTCGTTTTATATTCAACGCCTATTCATCGCCGTTTTACATAATGTGGCAGGCACCCACCCTCAATTCTACCTTTTAGTTTTTATTGTCATCTACAATATAAATATAAATCACCAAGATAATGTATAATATTTGACGTTTATCTTTAATCAAGTTCATTAAAATCCATAAGCAATATCGAATGTTATTAAATTAATAAAATATTTAATGGTTCGTCTTAAATTGAAGGTGTTACTTACCATTTTAGAGTAATTAATTAATTCACAAGAATATCCGTTGATTTTATATTTAAATTGGCCTCTATTAAATATAGTAATTATATTCAAAGTAAGAAGACGAGTTATTTTAAGGGGGGTTCAAAGTCCAACAATGTTAAAGCGCGTTGATGACTAGATGTAGGATTGGCATTTGTGCAAGAAAAACCTTGGGAATATGGGTCCAGTTTGTGGCACATGCGCATCCCGGGTTGGCTGTATTAATAAAACTAGTAACCTACATTTATTAAATTGGTACTATAACATAAAAATTTGACTGCTTTTATCATGCAACCACCAAAGTTGTTTAACGTCTTCCCAACTTTCACTTAATTGCCTTGATTACTTCTTAATCGCTGATTATCACGTGTCAATGTGTTTATTAAACTATAATTTCGTTTTAAACATGTCTTTTTCTCTTCTATAGGTTGAGACAAAGTTATTCTATAGAAAATGTCAAAAGGAACATCGAGGTGCGATTCTCCACATGCTACTGACAATGATCGGTGGGTGCAATATTTTAATTTATCTGATGTTGTATGCTTCATGCAATCTAAAATACTTTGATTAAGAGAACATGATATGTTACATTTAATTAAAATGTTTTTGCAAAAAGAAAAATGTAATGCATTATGACTATAAAATAATTGATGGGTGGTGAAATTAGACAGAATATGATCTGATAAATTCTACATGTCAAATTAAAATAAAGGAAACGTGGGATTTGGGACGATGCACATGGTCCATAGAGAAGTAGAAAGTGGGAACGTGCTGCCCTTGAACGCCTCAACAGAAGTCATAAGATGGAAAAAGAAATATGATATGGACAAATTCCTAACAAAATAGAATGCTTCTACTGCCATTGATATAATTATTTGCAGAGTAAACGACATTTTCCCACCCAATGTTTGACCTAATGACACTCTCCCACCCACCAAGTTTCATAATGACATTTTACCACCCTCCGTTACAATTTGTTCGTTAATTTTAACTATATAAGGATAGAATAGTAATTTCAAAAAAGTCAAAGGTTAACTTTGTCATTTTACCCTCTTCTTAAGCAAAACTAAAACCCAATTTGGTCAATTGGGATTTGGGACTCCGTTTGCAAGCCTAAATCGGAAGGTGGCCTTAGCTTGTGCAAAAAATGCTGGATCTTACTGACGCTTGTCTGCTAAATAAAGTTGACTTGGCGAGCTCAATCGGGATCTGTGCTTTGGGCCCGATGGATGAAGCATTGCTACTTTAGAAGGTTTCCTCCATGGTATCCTCACCTCTCTCAAAATAAATCTTGTCTATAAAGGAAGATGAGGCAGTTGGCTTCTTACATACAGTTGGGTTCGATATGGTTAGGTTAATTGGTGATGGAAAATCAGTGCGTTTATGGTTTGATGTCTGGCTAGGTTCAGATTCTCTCTTCCCTCTTTCTTTTCTTCTCTTGCCTCTCTCTTCTTCTTTTAGACTTTTAACGTCGACTACAGCTTACTTTTTTTCTCTTTTAATAGAGAGACAGATGGAGGAATCATCGTCAACCACCATTCTTTTGACCCGCTTTGCTTCTGCTTTAGCAATTGGGTCCAGCTGCTTCTGGTGAGACACTCAGCAAGAAAATTATATAAAATTTTGATGCGGGTCCAATGATTTGGACATCATCAATGGAGAAACAACTGCAAAATTGAAGAGCAATTGCTGCAATTATTCAAACAAGAAGCTGATTGTGATGGTAAAGAGAAAGAGTTTAATCTATTTACTCATTGAAGCAAATTGAGTTGATGATTCCACCAATCAGTGAAAGAGAAATTATACTATCTCCATTGCTAGAATTTACGAGTAATTACTGGAATCATCGTTGGGATTTGCAGACAAGGGAAACAAGTTGCAAGGTTGGGTTTTGAAGGAGTGGAGAGTGAGAAAGAGATGGGAGAAATGGAGTTGGAGGAGGGAGAGCGAGGGTTGGCCAGAGGCAATGAAGGTGGTGTCGGAGGGAGCAAAGAGAGCATCGGCGGTGGCGGTGGCACTAGACTGGTCGCCGTCAATGATTCAAGAACCGCCAGCACCAGTTGGTCGGCAACCTGTTGGGCGACTGTTGCTTTTCTATTTTCAAAATTTTTATTTATTTATATAATTTTTAAAATATTTTAATATTTAAAAGAACAGAAAAAATAAAAATAACCTGAATTTACAATTTCTATCCTTCTATAGTTGAAATTAACAGACAAATTATAACGAAGGATGGGAAAATGTCATTATGAAACTTGGCGGGTGGGAAAGTGTCATGAGGTCAAACCTTGGGTGGGAAAAAGTTGTTTACTCTTATTTGCAGCTAAATGATAAAATACTGAAAAATATTTGCATAAATTAATGAAGCCTTTACAATGACCAGACAATAAATAAAATTATTGGACATCTATTCTTGCAGACCAAGATTGCATTAAAATTGTGATATGCTGAATGATTAATTAGGGTAAAAAGACAAGAAAAAGTGAAGGCGAGTTTGGCCATTGATGGTAAGACTGCGATACATGAATGATCCGCGGGCCACAGAATTCACGAATTGTCGAGTAGCATCGGAGAATCAACTTTATTAGAGAAACTTCGGGAACAATCTGGACACGTAAANACCAGACAATAAATAAAATTATTGGACATCTATTCTTGCAGACCAAGATTGCATTAAAATTGTGATATATTGAGGGGCAGTGGCGGACCCAAGATTTTTGTCAAGCGGGATCCTCCACAGTTCCGCCATTGTTTGTCAAATAACTAGTGAAAACTTAAAAAAAATCACCAAACCTTAAGCAAATAAAATAATACAATATTAGTAACCTAAAAGAAAATAATACAATAACACAATACTTCACTACTTGAATAAATCTATGAGAAGCAAAACCTTGAGCAAATTATGTTGAAAATAACATCAAATTCACGAGGAAACACAAGAAAATTTTCACATGGAAAAACCTCTTCAATTAAAAAGAGCAAAAGACCACGGGAATCTAATTATCCACTTAAATCTAATATACTTAAAAGAGTTTACAACAATCATAATCCACAAAAAAATGTTCTACACAAATTTCTTATTTCTCCTCTTTTTTTAAATTATTATTATTATTATTATTATTTTGGCTCTCAAAGATTATAATATAAATTTTCATGACTTTGATCAAACCTAGCCTAAGCTAAAGTCAATCAAAACTTAAATTAAGTCAACGTTGCCTTGACTTTTAATATGAATTAATAAAAAAAAAAGGAAATTTTCTTAGTATAAACATAGATAATAACTGAAACTTCTTAAATAATTTTGAGCAACCAAACGGTGAAATTTGAAATGTAGGAAAGTGGTGGGTGAAGGATGAAGAATAACATTCAGTAAAATATAGTTAAGATTTAATTTGGGAAATCATGAATATTCTTAAACACAAAACACAAAACAAACTCACAAGATCCATGCCTTTTTCCGTTAAATTAGAATAAAAAACCTTCAAAAAATAAGCATGATTCAACCCTAAAATAAACTAAAATGAAATGAGCAATACACGTATCTAAAACTGATAAAACAGAAAACGAAGCTAATTGTGGCACCTTGATTAGTGAAAGCTTTAACAATTTCAGTCTTCAAAAGTTTTAAGAACGAATAACATAGAGAAAGTGAATAAGAGAATAAAGAATTTTAGGGATAAAATCATAAAAAACATGCGGACGTAGAAAAAAGTGGAGAGAGTTTTAAACTTTTAATATGATGTAAGCCTGAAATATATATATTAATAACAAGTTTTTTATGAGTCTGGATATATGTATAATATTTCTCATTTTTTTTTTTTAAATCTGAAGGTAGACCTGTATATATAATATATTAATTATATATATATATATAATTATATATATATATATACACACACACGTGAAGATAGGCCTAGAGATATATATATTAATAGAATTTTTTTATGGGCCTATATAAACATTTTTTTTTTTTCAAATGTGAGGCCTACCCTCCAAGGGGCTGGGTCCACCCTTACTGAGAGGGCGTTTGGTTTGAGGTAATGGAAGATTACTGGGGTATGTCATCTTATATTACTTGATTACCATATTTGGTTGTCAAGTAATATAAGATTCTAGTAATCTTGTATTACCAATAGTTGTTACTGTTGGTAATATTGGAGGTAATTTGATTACCTCTATTTTCTTAGGTATTGTAAGATTATCTTGGTAATCTTATTTTTGCTACAATTCTATCACTTATTAATAAAAATTTCGGACAATAATGCCCCTGTTTTAAATAAATTTACATTAATATACCATTTCAATTTTACCCTTGTTTAATTAAGATTTTGGACAATAATACTCTTATATTTAAAACAAATTACAGACCACCACCACCACTCAACCACCGCCGTTGATAGCGGGCCAACCACCACG